GACGAGGTCGTATGGACCAGCCAGCTGCCACCTGACGGGCACCTGTCGCTTCCTGTGATGTTGCGAAGCTGCTATGCGATCAGGGTGAGGCCGGTGAGGAGGGAGGAGGGAGGAGGAGGCAGGTGCGGCTGGTCCGACAAGATCCTCCTCCCTCTACGATCACAGCCATCATCGCTCGATTGGAACCTCATCGCCTGCGAGAGCGAGGAGGAGGCGGAGGAGAGGCCGAAGAGCTCGCAGCTGAAGCTGAGAGCCAGAGTAGACGCGAAGCGAGCACAACTCTCCTCCTCCTCTTCCTCTTCGCAGGAGAACTTCTCCGTGCGAGCGGTCATCTCCCTCCATCCCATCCTCAAGGTCAGGAACGCATTGCCCGAAACCATCAGTATCAGCATCCTCGCAGCAGACGTGGAGGAGAGGACGGAAGTCGCGCTCACGTCAGGAGAGCTCTCCCCCGAGCAGGTCCTCTTCCTCTACAGCGTTGACAGGCGGATAGCCCTCGGCCTCCTCGTCTCGACTCCAAGCATCGGGGAGGTGAAGCAGCCGGCGCTGATATTCCATCCTCAGGGGACCGCACTATCAGACTCCATCCACCTGGTCGACGAGCGAGGAAGGAGCTTGTTCCTCGGGCTCGACTATGAGCAGAGCTTCCTTGGGGATATGACAGTCACAGTGTTTCCTCCCCTCCTCGTGCTCAACCGGTCAGGCGTCGGCCTCTTCTACTCTCACGCCTCCTCCGACTCCCTCGGCATCGTCACCCGCTCGCCTGCAGCTGGGCAGAACATCGAGGCGGAGCAGGTTGAATCCTCTTCCTCCTCCGCCTCCTTCATCTCCTCTCTCCTCAACCTCAACAAGTCTCCTGCCAGGGAGAGCGCGCGGGGTGTCGCCTCCTCGTCGCACTCCTCTCTCGCTCCCTTCATCCTCTCTCTCGACCCGGCTCTCTCCTCCCACAAGCTCTCCGTCTCCTTCGATGGCCTCCACTGGTCCAAGCCCTTCCTCCTCGATCACGTTGGCAGCATGACCATCGAGCTGGAGCTGGGGGACGACGCCAGCACCAGCTCCTCCTCCTCCCTGGGCTCTGCTCCTCTACTGGAGTTCGCGGCTCAGCTCGAGCTCGGGAGGAAGCTTCAGTCCAACTACGTGAGGACGCTGTGTATCGTCCCCCGCGTCTCCATCGTCAACCTCAGCTCCTTTGCCATCGATGTGGCACAGGCTGGTACCGAAGCTCGCTGGTTCCGCACCCTCTCCTCCTCCTCCTCCTCCTCCTCCTCCTCCTCCTCCTGCAAGTGCTCCTTCCACTGGGAAGACGGAAACAAGCCCAAGGCACTCATGTTCCGAGGAGCTGGAACAAGAGACGCCTGGAGTGGGAGACTCCAAGTTGACCTGCTTGGCAGCTTCCCGCTACGAATTCCTGTAGCGACAGGAGCAGGAGCAGGTGCAGGAGCTGGGTACGTCAATCTCAAGGTTGAGATCAGGTCGCAAGGACCGTCGACGCGAGTGATCGTGTCGGAGGAAGACGAGAAGCATCCTGACATCTTGCTGGTCAACAAGCTCCCTCGCTCCTCCCTCCTCGCTACACAGGCTCACCAGTCAAGACGCGATCCGCTCGTGATCCTACCGCAGGAGGAGAAGATCTTCTGCTGGAGCGAGCCGCACGAGAAGCAACTGATCTCCTTGTGGGTCAGGGAGAGCATGGCGGAGCAGACGTCTGCGGCAGCAGAGGAGGAGGAGGAGGAGGAGGAGACGGTAGCGGTTGACGTGGAGAAGATTGGGAGCGTGGAGACGGTGCACGGGAACGTGATGGTGAGGGTGACAACGAGGGGGCCGACGCGGGTGGTGGAGGTGCAGCTGGTGGGGGAGCTGGAGGAGGAGCACGACGACTACGCGGAGCCGAGCATGGAGACAGTCTCGTCCTCGTACGTGAAGCTCGTGCGGCTGAACCTCAAGGTGTCGATCGCTGACCTTGGAGTCTCCCTGCTGGACGGGGGGCTGAACGAGCTGGTATACCTGTCGCTGCGAGGCATCAGAGTGACGCGGCTGGTGGGCGTGACGGTCTCGTCGTGGGAGGTCAAGGTGGGGAGCATGCAGGTAGACAACCAGACAGACGTTGGCCTCCCCATCATCCTCCAGCGAGCGGGTCAGGCAGAGGACAAGAAGCGCGCGGCTGCTCCCGCCATGCACTGCTGCATCGTTCGCCGGCATGACGGGGAGATCGCTTGGTACCCCTACGTGGCCGTTAGCGTGCAGGAGATGAGGTTCATGGTGCATGAGAATACGATCCTCCGCTGCCTCCTCCTCCTCCAGTCCATCGTCAACTCCAGCTCCCTCCTCGGAGAGGTCAAGAGGACGCTGAACAAGTCCCCGCTCTTCCAGCTCATGACAAGCTCCTCCTTGGACGACGCGCTGGTGCTGGAGGAGGAGGAGGGGAATGCTCGCGCGAGGGACGGGGAGGAGGAGAGGGTCTACGTAGAGAACCTACACCTGCACCCCCTCCTCCTCCACATCCACTTCACCCCGACAGGTGAGATCGCTGAGCTGCAGAGGAGCTCCAGCAGCAAGAGCAGCGCAGCTTCTAGCGTCCTCTCCCTCGTCAAGGCCCTCAATCTTGCCCTCCCCTCCTTCGACGGCCTCCCCGTCGCCATCAGTGCCCTCCTCCTCGAGCGGCACTTCTCCTCCTGGCTGGACCTCCACCGTCTCGTCCTCCGCCACTACCGGGCCCAGCTCATGCGCCAGCTCTACTCGTCCTGGACTGGCATCGACCTGCTCTCCCCCGGCAGCACGGAGGTTGTCAAGCCAGGGAGGAGGGAGATCTTCTACCGCCCAGCTGAGGCTCTCGTGACCTCTCCAGCTGACCTCGAGGAGGCGATGAAGAGGTCGCAAGAGAGTCTCGCGCGCTCCTTCGCTGGAGGGGCGTTAGCCTTCAGTCAGATGACCAGGAGCATCGGCCAGGGCGTCAACTCCCTGCTTTCAGACGTCGATCCCTCCTCCTCCCCCTCCCCCTCCTCCTTCCTCTCCCCCTCTCCCTCCCCTCTCCCTGCTCAAGGTTCTCTTGCCTTCCGCAAGGCAGGAGAGGACAGCGGGCGAGCATCTGCCGCCAACCAGGTCATGACTACTGTCTCTGCCTTATTTCTGCGTATCTTTGCTCTCCTCCTCACTCGCTGTCAGGCTGGAGAAGGCGAGGGGATGGGAGGGCTGCTGTCGGGGCTGGGCAAGGGCTTCATCGGAGGGATGCTGAAACCGACTGCAGGAGTGCTTGAGTTTGCATCTCGATCAACACAAGGTGAGGGGAGAGCGGGAAGAGGGAAGGAAGAGGAGGGGAGGGGAACGAGCAGAACAGCGCAGAGCAGAGCTGATCAAGTACGCAGGGCTTGCATCCATGGCAATGAAGGATCCTTCAGAGTACGGTGGTAGAGCTCGTCCTCCTCGCGCTCCTTCAAGGGATGGAGTATTGCGCTGCTATGACCTTGGTAAGAGGAGGATGATGCATGAGTCTCTCCTCCTCCCTCTCCTCCCTCTCCTCCTTCTCCTCCTCCCTCCTCCCTCCTCCCCACTGTTTTCTCCTCCATCCCTCTCACACAATCTCTCTCCCGTTTCCTGCTCTTGTCGTCCTTGCAAGTTCTCACCACCTGACCTCCTCTCTCTTTCTCCTTGTTCCCCTTCCTCCATCTCCCGCAGAGACGTCGGCGGGTCTGGACATCTTGAAAAGATTCGACGGCGGCAAGTACAGCAAGGAACATCTTGTCCTCTACTGCAGGCTGCAGGTCCTCCTCACAGCTCCTCCCTCTCTCTTCTCATCCTCCTCGCAGGGAACGGATGCCGTCATGCTCACAGACAAGAGGCTAGTTGTCATGGAGGTGTGATGGGACATCGATGGAATCGCTCAGCTGACCTCCTCCTTTTGTAACTTCCTTCTCCTCCTCCTCCTCCACCTCCTCCTCATCATCATCATCATCATCATCATCATCATCATCATCATCATCATCATCATCATCATCATCATCATCATCATCATCATCGTCGTCGTCGTCGTCGTCGTCGTCGTCGTCGTCGTCGTCGCCCGTCGTCGTCGTCGTCGCCCTTCTCCTCCTCCTCCTCCTCCTCCTCCTCCGCAGGTCTGCACGCTGGAGAAGAGGTGGAAGGTGGACGTCTCCGACATCTCGTCGGTCAAGACGACTGGGAGGTGAAGGAGGAGGGGAGACGAACTAGAGGAGGTGACAGCAGCTGCAGCGGAGTTATCATCCATACCAGGCCTCCTTCCATGCAGGATATCAAGTGAGCCCACGCGCATCTCCTCTTACCTCTTCCCCTTCATTCTCCTCCTCCTCCTTCTCCTCCTCCTCCTCCTTCAAACTCCGCTCCTCCCCCCACTGTCTGCATATCTCCGTCCCTCTTATTTTTCTTCAGGTTCTTC